TTTATATATAAAAAGTGAATTGCGGTATCAGAATTCACTTTTTTATATTGATTTTATATATAAAAAGTGAATTGCAGTATCGGAATTCACTTTTTATATTGATTTTATATATAAAAAGTGAATTGCAGTATCGGAATTTACTTTTTTTATGTTGATTTTATATAAAAAAGCTAGTTATAATATTGCAATTTACCTTTTTATACGATTTCAATATAAAAAAGTGAATTGCAATATTTCAAAAAAAATGGTTTGCACCATTTTTTTTTTTGATATTTTAATAAAAATTTTGAAAATTTTCAGGTTTCAATTCAAGTCAGGTCAAAAAGATAACCTAATATAACATGATCTGACTTGAGTGATCTGAAAAAAAATTTCAGGTCAGGTTTATCAATTAACCTGACCTGACCTGATCCATTCAGAACTCTAGCCTGTAGCCCTGTACTATTGAAAAAAGCTATTAAGAATGTTTTATCAATATCTCTACTACTCACAAAACTACTTCATGACCAATAAATTTGCCGAAGTTTACGTACTTGCCTTTTTTTACTTTATTACCTTTAACCTATATTACACTATCATGTGATACTGATATAAATTGAATTAAAAATTCAATTACTTAATGATTAAATTGGTTTAATCACTGTGGTCGTACCTCCATAAGTGTATGCACTTGGGACCTGACTATGCACATGCAGTTAGGGAGGATATGCACTTAAAGAACAGCTAATAGAAAAATCAATATTAGTAATTGGAGAAAATATTTATTTAAATTCACTTTTATTTTATATTATATTTTCATTTTAATGAAAGAATTGCACATACAAAAATGATTTGTGGCGTAAAATAATATAATAAAATTAAAAAGATTGAAAAATATTTTTTATTCAAAAAAATGTAATTTGTCAAATTTATCTATTTTAAAGAATCAAACAGCTATCGATGATTGGTCAATATTACAAATTATCATGTGAATGTATTTATGGAGAATGTTCTGATATACTTGGAATTCAGAATTACATGCACGTGTAGAACATAGAGGTGTACACTTAGCTCTAAGTCCCTAACTTGGGATCAAACCATGGCATGTATATAGGAAGGGAATACACTTATAGAGGGTGCACTTATAGAAATACGACTGTATTCGAGTTTTCTGAATCGTCTAACGGTGCTATCAAGTGACTGCTTTTCTAGTAAAATAGTATAATTGCATCTACTGTGCTTGAAATATAATATAGGGGATAATCTAGGGAGTGTTAATATTCTTATAATTATCTTTTATTAAGATTTTACTTTTACTTTTATCACTTTTTAAAAGACTATATAACTTTATTTTTAGTTAGTTTATTTTTAATTGTTTTTTTTAATATAATTTGTTTAATTGTAAATATTTTGAATAAAATTAATAAAGATAAAGATACTATGCTATGTTTGCTCAAAAGTGTGACTTATGACCTGTTTTAAAGATATCTAAGGTCCTTCTATTATATTTACTTTCTAGGTGAACCTTAACTCTTCTAACCACTTCTCAAATCTATCTAATTGGAAAAAAGTATTTGGACCATTAGAGGTAGTATTTGCTTCTATTTTAATTTTCTATGATCTTTTTTTTTATAATATCTATTAACTTTTTAGTAAACAACTTGCCAATTTCTCAATATCTGGATGAATTTTTCTAGTTTGTTCTTCAGATAGTGAATTATTTTACGGATTATAAGATGTAACCATACATTCTTTTTCATAGATAAGGTAATTACTTGAATAAGTCTTTATAGTGAATAGTGATTATTAAAATGTAGTTGACTGATCATATATCCAATTATAGGTAAGTAATATAAACTTGGAAAATTCCCAGAAAATAATATTCCAAAAAGTCATATTATTCCAGAAGTTTTGGTATTCCATATTTTTTTCAGCAAAACTTTTCTGCCTATAAATTAGCCAAAAAATTTTCTAAAGCCTAGATTCTGGTTTCTCTGGTCGAATTTTTTCTGCCTCTAGCACTTGCATCTTCATATTTTTAATTTTATTGTGCAGTTGCTGATTAGCTTTAATCCACTCATCATATTTCCTAGTTAGTTCTTGCATGAATCAGCCAAATGTTTCATTATTATAATTAAGTAATTGTTTTTACCAGATGATAAGTTCATTTTTAACTTGGCTATTAATTTCTGCTTCATGATTGCAGGTAATATTGTCAGTTTGTATTCATTATCTAAAACATAAGAAATAGGCAATGTTAAAGATAAAGGACAATCTGGCCAACTTTGGGGTGCAACTTTTTCTGATCCATGGTTTTGTGTCTCCAGTTTAATGAATTTTCATAGACATTTAATTTATGATGTAATTCTTCTATCCTATTACATTTTTCAAAGATCTGTTCTGGAAGAATAGGATTACGAGAGTGGTGTAAGAGCTGATTATATGCCCTATTTACTAAACTTATTGGAAGCTTATATATTTATAATCAGGATGGAACATTTTCCTCAGACGCAAATTTTGCATGCAAAAAAATTATGCACAGCACTTTCGGCGCATACATTGATTAAAAAATTGCTAGCCCGATATGGGCAAAACTTTATTAATTGTTTTATTATGCGTAACGACAATCATGCTTTACAATACTACATATTAAAAAAATGCTGAACTTCAAGATGGTGACGGCTGGTCACGATTCGTCATCACGTGATATGATACGCAAGTTCGATAATTTAGAAATTCTCATGCGAATCGAGATTTGCAGTCTAAATTTTAAACATTATGGTCATGGAAGTTTGGTTGCCCATAACTGGTTTGAATTTACTAGTATCTAATCTTGGGCGCATTAAAGACAAAAACGGTATGATATTTAAGCGAAATCCATGTAAAAAAAGTGGTTATGTACTTCCAACATTAACATTAACAGTTAATGGTATACTAGAACCCATGTAACCACAAATAAGATTTGGTCTAATCCGCTATTGACTTCACGACACACTTTGGATATTTCGGATACTACTATTTCTTCACTATTAAATCCCTCACAACCAAAACCTACAGTATCAACTATGCGATATTTAGTAGACAATGAACTATTTCCATTTCCATTTCCCTGCTTTGAACTTTCCGTGTCTTAGTCGCACAAACCTTTATTCCTAATCCAGAAAATAAGCCATACGTTAATCACATTAACGGCATCAGACACGATAATCGGGCTATTAATTTGGAATGGGTAACTCCTAAAGAGAATGCTGAACACAGGACATTCCCTAATCCCGGCCGTGGCAGTTCTAGACTAATCATATAGAAACATTATTATACAGGTTTGGAATTCTAGGTAATACACTTAAAATCGCAGAATGTAGCATTACAACATGTTGCAGAGGAAAGATAAATACTGCTGGTGGGTGGCGTTGGATGTATTATATGGAACAAGACCCCAATGAAGAATGGAAAGAGATAGAGGTCAATTCACAAAAATTTAGATTTCACCTTTAGGTAAGATTCAGTTAGTTAGTGGCGTGATCATCCGAGGATCGTTATGCGCAAGCTATTACCGAATTGGCCGAGTTCACAAGTATTTGGTCTACCGCTTGGTTGCATTGGCATTTTGCCCCAAAGAAGAAGGAAAAGAAAATGTAAATCATATTGATGGGGATTCTACAAACAACAGGGCATCTAATCTCTAATGGTGTACATGAAGGAAAACACTCAACATGCCATACGTCTTGGGCTTCGTAGTAACAGCTCCACTCAACGTGCTGTCAAAGTTTTTGATGATGGTTCTATTCGAGAATTTCCATCCTTAGCTGAAGCACAGCGCATAACTGGAATTAACCGGTCAAATATTTGTGAAGTATGTCGAGGTATTCGAAACCATGCTGGAGGTCATCGCTGGGAGTACATAAATACAATAAAATATTGAGTTATTTAGTTACATACGAAATTTTGATTGTTAAAAATGGATATAATCCTAAAAGAATTTTTATTATTGCAAAAATAAAATACATGAAGTCTTTATGCGGAATGTACCTGCCTATTGTTTGATTTTTTTCTTGTACAATGTTTTTAGTTGCTGGTTCATCGCTGGAAGATCCCAACACTTTTGCATAATTGCAATGGGTCATACCACCTAGTTGCGGGACGTACCCATCACCCGCCAGACGTACTATTGGGCTAGCAAAAAGGCCGATATGTTCTCCATCTCGTACATCCACCGGGACGTACCCATCACCCGCCAGACGTACTATTGGGCTAGGTGGAGACAAGAAGGCAATCATGCAAAACCTGATAAGATAGAAAATAAAGCAGGACATCCTTATTACCTTATTACTATGTAAAATTATCCAGTGTATTACAAATGCCACGTGGAATTGTCACGATCACGGATCACCAAAATGACCAAATACGCGTTATCTGCCACTATATCAACTGGACTTTAAGATGAATTGGGTCCCCCAGAGCAACTTAAGAATATTATTGACAATTATTTCTTTGCAAATACGTGGTACGACTGGTGCCTTGTTGAATTTCTTGAGTTTAAGAGAAGCGAAGTCCTGGCTGGCCTTCTAAAGGTATCCGTGCATCATTCGTATAAGAAAGGTTTACAATTGATCCTGGAATCAAAGCCACCCGATGATGTCTCCTTCGCCATTATGAAACAGCTAACACAAAAGATAACAGAAAGTGAGGAGGTCAAAATGTTTTGGAAAACAATAACTGCTGAAAAGAAATATAAGGAACAATTAGATATTATCAGAACCAGTGCTTCATTCGAAAGTGTAAGTAGTCTATGTGCTTTGCACGTATTTTTTCGATCACAATGCATTAATTTAGCTTTTAGGATATTCTCAAAATTCGCGGGAAAAGATTTTCTGAAGAAATTGATGATGTAGCTCAACGAGATGTAAAAAGAGTGGAACTTGGAAATGATAATGAAGATATTAGCACACCTACAAGAATTAAATTTGAAGCTCAAAGCGAAAAAATAGAAAATGGAGAATATGAAGAAGTGGAGATCGACAAGGAACAAACAGCGTTTTGTTCAGACAACAATAAACAAACTAACAATCAAATAAAAGATCACAAGTTAGAATTATTTTCAACTCCTCATAAACCGATCCTTACACCATATAAGTTTAGTATTATATCGTCTAAAGTTATTCCTGGGTTTAAATCCCTTAAAAGTACTCTTAATATAAGATATCCTGAGATAGTAAATGAGATCGAAATTTATGAGAAAGAACAAAAAAAGACTAACCAGCTTGGGAACAACTCTTACAGTATGGTTACGAAAAACTTTATCATCATCCACTCCAGAGGAGTTATATGAATGCCTTATGCAGAAATTGCAAGATGAAAACATCACAGACCGAGACAAGAAATTACATGAAATATTTGAGTTAACATTAAGGGAATTTTACTTAATGATTAAATATAATCCAAAACATGCTCTCATAAGACACAATTCAGAGAGAAAATTTTTTGTCGAAAGGGTGTCAACACCATTTAAACTTGTTGAATATGTGTTTGGAACCATTATAACGTATTGGATTGAAAAAGAAATAATGTCGACAAAGGCAACGGAGTTCGTAGATGATCCAATTGGTGATCCAGTTTCGAAGAAGGCTGATGCACTGGCCACAGATCTTACATATAATTTAGACGTTATGAATATGGAATCATCAGGAGGTCCCTTTCAACAAGACAGAAAACATACTCTCGAGGATTCAGAAAAGATCTCCAAAACATTCTCCTCACGAGTCTCCGAAAGTATCTTTGTGCTAGTGTTGAAACCGCCAAAAAACTTAAAACATACAATATTCAAATCGTTGGTATGCAAATTGTTTCTTGTATTATATATATATACTGATGTATTGATATTGATATGACAATTTTTGTAGAAGATCGAATTACACTAATGGAAGTATTCCTTTACAAGCCACGGATCTGCAAAGAGATTGAAGTCAGAAGTGCCGTCTTTCCATTTGCTTTATCTTCCATAGGAGAATATATGCGTATTTTTGAGCTTATATCATACTATGTGGTATGTTATTCTGTTTTATAATACACAATCCTATCAAAATAAGTTATTAATTTTGTGCATATCTAGGATGGATTGCTCAAGCGCCAAGAGGTTATACGGGAGTTGTCTAAAGAAAGTAATGGAGTAAAGGAGGTAACTTCAGAAATATTTTCGGATTGGTGGAGTAAGACTTTGTAATAATTTGCTATCTACCAACAACTGAAATGGTTGCGTAACATCAGAGTTATGTTACAGAAAATCCGTTATAATAATGTTAAGCATTTTATGTGATATGAATTTATCTGATTTTATTACCATATACAGTATATACTTGTATAATATACATGAGTAAGAAAAAAAAAATAATACCCAATACTGGCGAATTCAAGTTACAAACTGATTAATTACTAAAATTGTGTTGATTGATTTTTTTTTGCATTACAAATACGAAATATTGTCATTACTTCCAGCTAATTTTTAACTACTATTTCTCCTAACCTGGGATGCAACATATTTAAATATTTAATATTATCTTCACTTAAGTTTGAAATAGAATTGGCTGTAAACGATTTAATTCGTTGTATATATGTCATCCGTTGAATATTATCGTCACTAAGACGGAAAAAAAGATCATAAACTTTTCTCGCTCCTTCAGCTTTCTTTTGGAGTGTGTTTTTTGGGAAGCTGATCCCTAACATCATCTTATGGGCCTCATGTTCCACATTCGTTTTTCTGTGGTGGGCAAGTTGCTTCTCCAAAGTTGTAATAAGCCATTATTAGTTCATGACGTGTGTTTTCATTCCATTCCTCAGCCTTAGAAATTTTAAAATACAGATCAAAAAAAGTTCGGGAGTCTTCACCTCTCGTATAGATTCTCTACGAAGGCCTTTCCTTTCCTTAATCTCAGAAAGTCGAGTAGTATTAGAAAATAACTCCCGGATAAGCTTGTTTAAAATATTAGAGTCCTCTGGTTGAATATACAGTCGACCCCCTATATAGTCACCCCCGTATAATCACAACATATAAAATTCCCCTTTATACCCAATGTACTAATAAATATATTAGAAAAACCTCCTCTATAGTCACAACATATGACTTTTTTTATAATCACACCCTTTTTTTCGGTCCCGAGGGTGTGACTATAAAGGGGGCTGACTGTATATCAAATAGGAATAGAATATAATGTTAAACAACTTATTTTTTATTGATTAGATATCTAAAGATGAAAGAAGTGTTTTACATCTATATGGTTATTCTTATAAAAATAGTAAAACAAAAAAAAAAGATTGTATTTGTAAAAGAAAATCATTATACAATATTATCAGCATTAACAGTAAATAGATTCATTGTAGCTAATATAATATAAGGCAGTTGTGATAAAGATAAACTTCAAACTTTTATATTAACATAAGTGGTAATTATTTATTTATAAAAATTGTTATTTTAATAGATAAAATTATTTATTTTTTAACGATTATTTTAAATTATTACAGATAAATCTGTATCCTAGTAAAAATAGTTCATTATGAATAATGCTCATATTTATTATACATGCCACCCAAATTATTTTGGGCTGCCATAATTATAAGTAAAATCCCAAATTCAATTATGGCATCCCAAATTATTTTTGCACTTTACATAGTAAATTATATATAAACTAAATGAATTACGGCATCCCAAATTATAATTATGGCATCCCAAAATAATTTGGGCAGTATGTATAATATTTATCATAATGAAAATTTAATAAAATCAATTGAAGAATTTGGATGTAAAGTATTTTATTTGCCACTATATTTGATTTAAATTGGCTAAAAATATTTAAGGATATTATTAATAATTATGATGATCTTATTTATATACTTTTTGTAGCATTATCTCAAATTACTTCTAAGACAATATTTTTAACAATCAATTTATATATAATAGAATTTTACATGCATGTATAAAATATAAAGAAATTGATAATCACATCAAAGAAAATTTATTTACTAAATTTAGAATGATTACAAAGTAATATAATATAAATCTACACAAATTTCTTTGACTCATCATGTAATGTTTATCTAATACCAATTTTTAATATACTTATAAAATTATATACTGCATCAGATAATCTAAATAATTGGTTAACCTGAATTTCTTTATCCTCAAATTTTTGCAAATTACATGTAAATTTGTTTGCATTATATTTTCCATCCAACTCTTCCAAAAATTCATTTATAGAAAGAACTTTTGATATATAATTTTAAATTATATTAGAAATTAGTAATGAAGAATTTTCATTAGAATTTAAATTTGAAAAATTATAAGAAGCAGGTTTAATTGAATGTAACATATTAAAAATTGCATGATTAGGCAGTATTTTAAAATCTGTATTATTTTTAAATTGATAAAAAAAAACTGTTAGTTATGATAATATTATAATATTATAATTATTTTAGCCAAAATTTACAATATCTTGAGCTCACATTGAAAAGAATATATTTGATAAAAACAAATAATGACTATTTTTCATAAAACAATGTTTGTGATTATGAAAATTACAAACATATTTATCTTTGGGTATTGCTAAATATCACCAGTGATGATCATCACCACATGTAAAATATTTTTTGAATTTTCAAAAATTTTTGACTGAGATATTATTCTAATTATAATATAAATATTATTATTATATGTAAATTTATGGGTAGAACAAGTTTGCCTTAGATTATAAAGGCTGTTGTTTAGATAGTTTTTGAGAAAAATAGGAAAGTTTGATTTTATAAGCAAAATACAATTTTTTGTTTTAAAAAAGATTTTTTTTAGTCAAATTTTCAAAATTTTAGTGTGATTAATATCTACTCAGGTTTGTTTTACACATTTATTATTTAAATTGAAATTTTTGAAAAAAAATTTACGATGTGTTTTTTAATTCTGGCCAAAATTATAATTTTCAGCCAGAATTAAGTGGTATAGTGACGATCACCACTGGTGATATTTAGCAATACCCTTTATCTTTTAATTGCATTATAATTTTACTAATCACTTTTTTTTTTCATCAAGTTTACTTTTTTTTGAGATTCTATTTATTACTGTACCTTTTTTTTTAGTTTTAACTGATTTAGATTTTAGTGTTTTTTTTTTCTTTACTTACCATATTTTTTAAATTATCATCTTATTTATTATAATAAGTACTTGTAAATTAATATCACATTAAACAATTAAAAATTCAAATTGAAACTGAATTTTTACTTTATATTCTTATCTTCATAGTTACAATTATTATCACCTTTTTCTTATTAGAAATGTAACGTTGATAATCTTTTAAAAATACTTCAAAAATAATTTTATTATCTAAAAGTATTCCTACTTCAACTTCTAAATTACTCTTATATGCTAAAAAATATTCATTATTAAAGATTAATAAGACCCTGAACACAACTCACATTTGAGTTTGTGTAGAGTTTATATTAAAATTTTTCAAAAGTTGCATATTACAGAAGTATTTTCAAAATTTTATTATCCTACATATCTCTGTTTTTAACATAACCAGTAATTCGATTTTAATAAAATTTATATCATTGGATTCGTTTTGATGAGAGGATTCTAATGATAGTAAAATCAAATTCCTAGCTTCAATATTGACAGAGTTATGTTATAAAATGTATTTTTACTTTAGTACTTAAAGTTTACTTGTGAGTTATATTAGTATTATTCAGGGTCTTAGATTAATCCTATATATTCAAAAATAAATTGTTCAACTTTTATTAAAAAATTAATATATTTTGTATCATCAAATAACCAATTAACTAAAATAGATGGTAAAAGTTTCTTTCCATTATAGCAGATTTATAAAATACCTTAAATTTGTCCATCATGTCAAATTAAATAAATATTTGACAGTCTTTTAGTCATCAAATTTTCCAAATTTATTAGTAAATAGTTAAAAATGAACTCTAAAAAATTTTTTTGTATTCTAAATCTTGCATCTAACCAATTTTTCTATTACTTAACCAATATTTCCAGTATTAAAAGTATGTTATATTTATTTCTAAAGGTACAGCAGGATTTTTGCCAAATTTCATAAATCCACTATAATGCCATTTTTAATTGATATATGAAGCTGTAATTCTGTCATTGGATTTACTACTATTAAATTGCTGGATTCTTTTTTTTTTATTTCCTTTCCAAATTTATTATTTTTTGACTTATTTTACTATTATAAGTTGTATAAAGTAAATAGTAAAAGGAAGTTTTCAGATTAACTTCATAACCAAATTTAAGATTACTTCTACTCATAAATTTGTTTAAAAAAAGTCAAGAATTACTTGTATTATAGCTATACTTTTCGTCAAAATGACAAAATACTAATTAAATTTATTTTGACAGATGTAATGTATTTTGACAGACATAATTAATTCATAGTAATTTTATAATAAATAGTAAATTGGTTCATTCACCAAAATATGACGTAATTAATTAGCGAAGAAATATAATCATAGCACAAACCTTTATAGCTACGTACTTTAGCTATTCAGTTATTTTTTGCTGGTTTTTCATACTTATTACAATGATAGTTTACAAATGAAAAGTTTTTTCCACAGTATAAGCACTTTTAATAGATAAAGTACGTTTCTATTTGATATTTTCTTATATATACTTGTACTTCATATACTTCATTTTTATTAAATGACATTTTAACATGTAATATAAAATTGAATATAGTACTAGTCTACTAGACGAAGTAATAAACATGAATTTCTATAATCTATATATAAATTTATAAATCAAAGAAATATTATTGGGTTAAAAATAATGTTACATAAAATTGAATTTTTTTTGTGAACCTGTATTAATTAGCTAATCACATTTTATTTGAAAACAGCAATAAACCAAATAAGTTATGCTAATTAAAAAAAAAATTTAATTAGTAATATTTTTTTTATATGGTAAATATTGCAAATATTATAAAATAAAAAAATCTGGTGCAAAGTGAAATATAATTATTATATTAATAAAATCAGTTTAACTATTCTAATAATTTATATATACTACTTAGACAAAAGTAAGCAGAATCCTATTATGTTAATTTTTTAAAATTGCACATAATAACAATGCTTAAAATCTTAATATATAATAATATAAATTTTGAAGAATATAATATCAAATTTTTAGATTTCTAGCCTTCATACAATTTT